TCTACTTTGCAGTAATAAACTTCTCTCTGTGTGATATATTATTCAAGGATTAGCCAGCAGAGTTAAAGTTGATGGATGTTTTCTTTTTTTTTTTTTAACTTATTTTTTCCCCAAAGCTCAGTGTTTTCAGTGCTGTACTGATGGAAATAAGGCATAAAAACTACATTAGTTCCAAGTCAGTCTTGTGCTGCTTGTGAGGCCCATTCTGTTTCCAGAATTTCCTTGGGTACTGCAATTTCCTGTCAACTTTGGTGCTATAACAGGAAGTCCCGTGCTCCCAGGTGTCATGCATGACAGAATCTGGTTCTGAATCCTGCAGCAGTGTACTGGTGCCACATCACTTCATAGGTGAAAGAATCATAGAATCATAGAATCATTAAGGTTGGAAAAGACCTCAAAGATCATCAAGTCCAACCATCAATCCAACACCACCCAACCCACTAACCCATGTCCCTGAGCACCAGATCTACATGTTTCTTGAACACCTCCAGGGATGGTGACTCCACCACTGCCCTGGGCAGCCTGTTCCAATGCCTGATCACTCTTGCAGTGAAGAAATTTTTTCTAATATCCAGCCTAAACCTCCCTTGGCGCAACTTGAGGCCATTTCCTCTTGTCCCATCACTTGTTACTTTAGAGCAGACCCCAGCACCCACCTCACTGCACCCTCCTTTCAGGCAGTTGTAGAGAGTGATGAGGTCTCCTCTCAGCCTCCTCTTCTCCAGACTAAACCCCCCCAGCTCCCTCAGCCGCTCCTTGTCAGCCCTGTGCTCCAGACCCTTCCCCAGCTTCGTTGCCCTTCTCTGGACCTGCTCCAGCCCCTCAATGTCCTTCTTGTGGTGAGGGGCCCAACACTGACCCCAGGATTCAAGGTGCGGCCTCACCAGTGCTGAGTCCAGGGGCACAATCCCTGCCCTAGTCCTGCTGGCCACACTATTGCTGATGCAGGCCAGGATGCTGTTGGCCTTCTTGGCCGTCTTGGCACACTGCTGGCTCACGTCTTCCCTGTTGCATATAGAAGCTTAGCACAGAATTAAGATAACTTTATATTTCACCTGTGCCTTCCCGAAGGCACAGTCTCCAGAAGCCAGTATTGTCTCCAGGGCAATTCAGAAAGATCTGCCCAAACAGCTACAACTCTGTAATCTCCTCAATTTTTTGTATTTCTGTCCACTCCCATGCATCCATTTTGTCTTCACTATATGTCTATTTGTCTTCTTAAACCTCTAGCTGCCTTTGCACTCCCGGTGCTAAGTCCTAGTGGTACAATCAACACACTGGCCAACGAACTGTGCTAAAATGCATCAAGCCCTTTACCAGCCCAGTTTGACAGCTAATAAAGTCCAAGTGAGATAATTTAAGGTAAACTCATGCATTTTCATGCTCAGTTTCTGTGCCAGGGGCATTTTTTTGCTCAGCAATTTTCTGGGATGTAAAAGCCCACCTACTTGGAGTTGAGAGGATAAAGTCTCGCCGAGTCAGCTGGGCATAGATATCTGCAAAATTAGTTTTCCCCATTGTCTGAGGCAAATAAGGCTTCGTTTCAGCCAGATTTTTAACAGGTCTTAGAACCAAACAATCTTTTCACCAGGTCATATACCAGATTCCGGCTTATGCTTGTTGACTCCCTTATAAATACTTAAGCTAGGGAGAGAAATAAAGTATAGTGGGAATTCTAGTCAGAAAACAATAACAGTTTCAAGCCCCTTATTTTTCCACTAGATGGATCTAAAAGTTTCAACAAAAACAATTTTTTTAAAAAAGTTTATTTTAGAGCTAGAAATCCGGTATATCATAAGTGATACAAAGCTGACTTGTTCCAATGATGCAGTGTTGCACAGTGCTTCCCATCCTTCCAACACCTTGCAGACTTGGAGTCCCCTTTGCTCTAAAGTTGTTTGTCACCAGTACGACTGCCTTCACCTCAAAAGACTTTGACCTCCTTTGGTCAGGGTTCGTGATGATCAAAATCAAAGCTGTGGGCACAGCTCAGAGGTACCAGGTAAGGCCCACCACCTTTCATTCTCAGTCTTCATTTCAAAATAATCAGCATCCCTCCTGATCTGAATTATTCCTGTTCCAGATAAAGGGGAAAGTTGAAGCCTTATGTGAGAGACTTCATTGGTATCCCTTTGGATGTCAATACTCCTATAAACCTTCTTCTGGTGAGCTGATTAAGCCTAGACTCATCCTACTAATTTGAGATTCACGTGAATTATCTTAATTAGTTACACTTGTGCCAGGTGCACAGAGGGGGCCCTAGACAGCAATTGTCTGGATGCACCCACAGGACTTTGCCCAGTGAGTCCCAGATTGGCTTCGCCGAGTGAGCAGGAGCAATGGCCGTCTGGAAGGTTCATTTCCCTAGGGATTAGGATCTTGCCCATCACTGACTTTTACCTGTTAGTAGCTGCAAGGTCTCCCTGCATCTCTCTCTTGTCTGACACTTTGATGTGAGTTCATGTTTCATCCTTTCTCCCAATTGTGGTAAGAATTAATTTTCTCATACTTCTCCAGCTGTTAGTTTACATAAATTTCTAGCACTTAAATCTCTTGAATTCTTCTTTTCCTGGGGAAAATTTGTTTGAAATTGTGCAGTAGATTTAGAAGGCATTGCAACCAGGACACAGAGGCAGACACTCAGATGGTGTAATCTTACAAATTTATTATAAAAAATGTTATAACTTCTTTTGGCTTTAGTGATGTGTTATTTGGAAGGAATTTAGCCCCTCTGAATTAGTAATCTAATGTTCATTAATATTCCAAGGAAGAATGTTTTTGTGTCTTCTTTTTATCTTGACCACCCTATGACATTTCTTCTATCAGGTTTGAGCCACATCTTTGTGTCATAGTTATTCCCCTGTGGTAATACCTTGGTGAAATAAAAAACCAGAACTAAGAACAATGTGTTGACTATACACAGTTTCAGATGCTTAACTTGATAAGAGATCTTCCTCGTGGATTTATTCTGGGTATAGTGAGGCACAGTAACTCCCAACAGCTTTAAAATGTTTCTGTGGTAATATAATACAAAATACGGCTTAAAACTTGAAGTTTATATTCCACTAAATTTTGTCATTGTTGATTTTAAAACATATTAGATCATCCACAAACAGGAGGAGCATCAGGCTGTTTCAGAACAAGTGGTGGACAGTTTTGGAGAAGTCCTTTTTCTCCTTGGCAGGTTTTTATGATAATTCAAATATTGGAGATAATTTACAACCCTGCTGGTACTATACTAGAGACCTTAACTGATGGAATTTATATAACTTTTCCTTTTAGACATTTAAACCACATGTCATCCTAGAAAAATGAGGACAGAGGTCCAACAAAGGAGTGATTTATTTTCAGTTAAAATACATTAAAACCACATGTTATTAAGTACTGTATAATCAAACCATGCTCCAAAGAATTCTTACAACACTAAAGCTTGCTTAATATGTTTCATTTTTTGTCCCAAAAAAACTTCGGCAGTGCATACATTAACAGACTTTACCTGAGCTGCACAGTACATTGGCTATAATTTTCCCTTGACAAAACAAGCTATTAGAGTACTGGAGTACAAATTAATTCAGTTCCTTATTATTTTTCTCACATTTCTGGATGGTTGAACTTGTCTGTCTGTTTTAGGTGACATTGCATCTCTGTGAATATCCCTTCTAAAACAGCAAAATATGATTAAGTTTGTTAAGGCTGAAATATAGTTTTTCAGAATGAAACAACTTGTGTTTTGGGCATTTTACCAAGATGAACTCTCATAAGAGCAAACTAATGTACAGAAGTAGTGCACACGAACACAAGGTTAGAAGGGAAATCAATACAAAGACTAGAATTAAGGGGCCCCAATTTTGTTCTCAGGATGCAGATGCTGTGAACCAGTTTCTGTCCTCATTATGCTACACTTCCACATGAGATTGCCTAGGACTTGAAGGGAATTTTATATGCTGGTGTTGCCAGGTGAGTTGTCCAAAGCTCCGTCGAGATGACCAGTGGAGGATTCGTCCTGTACAAAGGACTTCTGCAGCTGCACCAAGCTTCCATGGTGGTTCTGGATCATACTGGCACAGAGATGCTGCTTGGGGGACTGGGAACTCAGCTGGCTCATCTGTGTGCTCCTGGGAATTGTTAGATGCCAAAACCCTGTCGAGATATATGCTGGTACCCAATGGGGAAGTGAAAGTGGTGTTGTCTCACTGTTCAGACTCTGTTAAGTGTGCAACTTGCATGGACGAGAAAACCTGTCCCTGTGCTTTCTAAGAGTGTTTTAGCCCTAGAAGGGACCTAGCCAGTTACTGTCAAACAGTCTTTAAACAAAGCAGGGATCAGAAGCGGCACATTTCTCTGCTTGTATGCTTGAGATCATTCTAATTCAGATGTTACAGTCACATCTTGAAGTCATCAATTTTACCTTAAGCTTGCCTGGTGTTCTCATTTGTCCTGAAATTGCTTAGCTCAAGCAGATCCTGAAGTACTGATTTTGCATCACAAACATGCTAAACTTTGTAGTGACTTTAAACAAAAAAATTGTATGGTTTGTGTCTTTTCTTACTCTTTGGCTGCCTAATTGGAATGTACGGCATGTATTAGACAATATAATACATTGAACTATAGAAACTCTACTGAATTAAAGCTGTGTAGTTTGCTGCCTTGTCTCAGATGGAGACCAGGACCAAATAATGTGGGAGATGGTGCAAGAAACACAGTGGGCAAAAAAGGACCATGTGATAGGCTTTGACATATGCCACATCTAAATCATAAACTCTTACAGTAAATTTTAGCATAACATGAATTAAGCATGTCCAAAATTGTTATTGAATCACCTCCCCAACAAGCTCCTCAGCTCTACAGTATGTTTTATTTTATTTTTTTCACCAGCCTGGTCAGCACATCTGCAGTCACAGCTGAGATCGCTGCCTTCTTCCTTTTTCTTAATTTAGGTTATTGCCTATCTTTTCTTTATATTGCATCATCCGAGTGACTTGTCTTCTCCCTTTCTCTAGATGTTTCCAGATGTGTGGCTGAGAGGAAGTACACTCAGGAACAAGCTCGCAAGGAATTTCAACAAGTGTTTATCCCAGAATGCAATGATGATGGCACATATAGTCAGGTTGAAAATTTTTCATTCAGTATCTTGCATGGCTGGAAAGTCAGGCTACGTGTGTTTGCAGAGTGTGAAGAAGAGGCAAATGTAATGAATTGAAATGTAATTTCAAAATGAAATGTAATTGATGTTAACCCTGATGTTAAGAAATGGAAGGAAAATGCATGTTTTGTGCTGAGTCCTTGGAATTTTTTTTCAGAGTTGGCCAGGAAATGAGTCAAAGTTACCGTTGTTCATGTGATACACTCCCTGTTCTTTTAGGCTGAGGCAGCTGAGTCATTCTTGTAGCCCCCTGAATACTCAACAGATGGTAAAATGCTTGTAATTTCTGATCTGTTCCTGATCCCAACCAGAAATCTTTGTGACCAGAGACCGTATCTTAGTGCTAAAGAATGAATCATACAGGATTCTCCCCTATTCTCAGATGAATTTCTGTACAAGCATCCGGTCTGAGACTAAGTTACTTAGAAATTCAGAAGGGACGCTTCAGAAGAAGCTTATCCTGTGATATATATCCCAATGAAGATCGCCTTCCGCTACCTCTGTACTGCATTTCTCTTGCGGAGTTGTGCAGAAGACAACCCTTCTTGTTTCAAGCATGGCAAGGGAAAGTGATGTTGGCCCTTAGGAAATGTAATGCAATTGATTTTTAAGAGGAATTCCAAGAGTTTCCTTTCTGACAGCTTGGAATATGAATAATGCTGTCAGAAGCCCTCTGTCCTCCTCCTTCAGTGGGTGGAACAACATGTTCTCTATGTGGAAAAAAACTTGAGATCGCTTGCTTCAGGAACAGTTTATGTGTCCCTTGAGAAATTTTGTTGTAAGGTTTTCATAACACCTGCACCTCAGTCTTCTAAAATAGGATGTAAACAACCACATATTTCAAGAGTTTTCTCTTCCGTTGGATTCTGAAGGACCTACCATACTTTGCTTCAAATGAACTCTTCTTTATGCTAAAAAATCCTATGTAAAACAGAGATTAGGTCCATTATGGTTTATTGTTCTACATTTTGTCAATATAGTTTTTCTGGACTGGTCTTTTGTCCTCATATTTCATGAACTCTGTGAGATAACAGACATATATCTGACAAACTGCACGTGGGTCATGTCTTTTCTGACAGGTTCAGTGCCATAGTTACACTGGATACTGCTGGTGTGTCACTCCCAACGGCCGTCCTATCAGTGGTACTGCTGTGGCCCACAAAACTCCCCGCTGCCCAGGTAAGACTTGGTAATGAACAGTAGAGTTTATCTGTGGCATCTGATTAGACTTAAGGAAAAAAAATTTTCACTGGAAGAGTGGTTCAGCCCAGAAACAGGTGCTGGCAGAAGCTGTGGGCTCTCCATCCTTGGAGATTTGCACAACTTGACTGGATGAAGCTCTAAGAAAGTTGGTCTGGCTTTTAAGATAGCCCTGTGTGCGTTTTGAGGTCACTGCCACCCTAGACCTTCCTGTGATTCTGTGACCCATCTACTTTATTTGTCCTATAATCTAGCTATTGAAGGGGTTTTCTGCAGTGGTTATTTGTATGATATTTATGTGTCAGTATATAAAACCATGTGATTGACTTACTGGTGTAGTCCATCCTTTATGTTGAGACTCTCTTGAACACAAACTCATTCAAAAAAATTTCAGAAGGCTTTGCCTTTTTGATATTTTAAGTATTTAAACTATTTAAACCCACCCTCCCCCAAAAAAATACGAAGTGTGAATGTCCTGGTTTGTAACATAGTTCAATGAGAGAACTCCAACAGCAAATTCCCTGAATTACCAAATCCAGAGGAGAAATAAAAATGAAACAAAGCACTAAGAACATAATAAAATCATTGTCTGTAGAAATTAATTAGCAAATCAAACTCATTGCTATGGGTACTACCCTCTTGTCTTTCATCAGGACAATTCACAGATTCACTATTTTTTGGGAATTTGCTTCTGCCTGTTTCATTGGCATTGATAATAAATACAAATCCCCAGTGTACAAACAGTTGCCAGAATCACTACTCACTTTCCTTGAGGCTGACAAAATTGCACAGAAATAGCTCCAAAAATACTTCAGTTCTATGTATTGCATTCCTGTTTGTGCTGCAGCACCATTCTCTGCCAGAGAGAGGAAGAAATAGCTGTAAAAAGCTAATGCTGTGATGTAAATCATGCTGAAAAACAGTAGATTAGGGTCTTTGAGGGAATTCACCTGGTCTGATCTACTTCGATCAGTCAAGCACAATCTTGATGTTTTTAATAAATAGGTGGAGGAAGGAAGAGACCACTGAGAAAGTTTCAATGAAGATTATAAAAAAGTTAATTTCAGTTTTAAGTTTAAAATGATTTGCTGAGTCTTCCATGCATCTTGGAAGGTGAACTTTAGCCAGAGAACACTCTTGAGGCTAATCCTTGTGATCCAGCCTGAAAAGTCACTGTGAAATTACACTTAATTGTGAAAAATAATCTGAAAAGTTCAGAAGCCTTAAAATAGAGCAAAATATGCATTAATTTTTAATGTAATTACTATTTACAACAGAATCACATCTTCAGAAGAGGCATGGTTAGGAAAGCATGGTTAGCGAAGGGAAGTTAGTTTTACCGAAATGCTAAGGAGAAGGTGACGGTAGCTCTAGATTTTAATTTAGTAGCTCAGAGATAAATAGAGACTGATCCAGGGCCAAGTACATGGAGTCTGATCGTGGGTAATTTTCCCGTTGTTTTGAGACCCTTTGGGTTTGTTTCTGCACATTACCTTTCCTGCTTATATCAGTGTTCTCATGTTTTACTGCTCACTGCTTCTCCTTTGTCCCTCAGGAAAGAAATCCAGATACAGCAGAGTTTGGAAATAGATTTGAAGTGCTAGGGGATTTTGCAGTAGTAGTGTCTAAGGGCTCAGTCTTAAAAAGTTTGGAGAAACCTTCTCATTCTACAGAGAAGGCAGCTACAGATTTGCTCAGAAAGTTATGTGGTATAGTAAGGCAAAACTTTGCTCTTATATTGCAGAATGAATGCCTGAATCACAACGGCACCCGTCTCCCATTTTCCAGTATATGTTCAAAATTGCCATCTGTGTAGGATAACAGAGTTTTTTCCCCCATGGCTCTTGATATTTTCCAGATCGCCATTGGTTCTCTTTTAGACTTTTTCTTTAGTACCACCATGCACAGGAATTGCGATCAGACTGTTAGTGGGTACACTGAATTTAAGTAGAGGTACTCCTGTCTTAAGCAGTATTTCAGGGATGCCATTTCTTCCAACACTATAGTCCCTGGTCAGTCTAATACACTGTGTGATTGCTAGCCTTAGGATTTTTGATATTGCAGGTGGATCTCCGGTAGCAGAGGCATCCCGACATCAGCATTTTCACTTTTTTGGAAATATATTTTCTCTTGCTTCTGTGTATTCTGCAGGCTGTTTCCTAGACATTTATGTAAATTTCTGACTTTGCATGTGCCAGACTTTCTTCTCCCAGGATCACTTCTGCCACCTTTTCCCTTTAGAGCAGAAGACGGCAGGTAGAGTCAGTTGCGAACATGCTTCTGTAATGGTTTTCTTGGAGGAAATGGGATACCGTGGAATGTCTGAAAATTTGTAATTTTAATGAAAATGTTCAGTGTTTCTTTTCAGTTCTAGGTTAGTTCTTCAGTAACTTGAGATAAGGCTTGAATAGGTGTCAAAACAACTCTGCTGTTCCTAAATTGTGGGATAATTTCTTGCCTTTCATTTTGTCACAGTAGAACCCAGTAGAATTCTCCCAGTAGAATTCACTTTGGTGAATATCCAGAAATAGGAAAGAAAAACATAGCAGCCTGCATGAACGTGGATTTTAATAGAGGAAATATGGAGCAGAATTTAGGAAGGGCAGTTAGGGGTTTCCTGACTAATTATTACATCTTTACCTGAAAGTCTCTTCTTCCATCCTTTCCAGTTATTCCCACACCAACAATTGGTACTGCTAAAACACACATGATAAATCTCAGAGCACGATTCTGCTCCATGGAAATAATCACCACTGTTGCAGGACGAGTGGGGAGAAGGAGAGTATATCAAACACATTCCCATGGCAGCATTAAAAATAAAGCTCCTTAAAAATGATGAATGTCCCCCCAATACATTTACTAAAGAGCACCAGACGTAAAAAAAGACATTTTTACAATTCCCCATCTCTGTTATCAGCACTGTGGGGAACTGCAGAAATTCCACAGGCACAGAGTCCTGGGAAATGGGGCAGAAATGGAGAAGCAGGTGTTAAATTATCATTGGAAAATACAATGTTTGCCTATTGTAGGGATTTGATGCCATATTAACTCTTCTGGGTATCTGCCGGTGAGACTGCAGAGATATGGATTCATGTTTTCTTATTATATTTTATTATTTGTGTGGTTTTGCTACCTTACAATTAAGATGGCATGATCATCTTTTAAGGCCAAAATACAAGTACCATTGAAAATACGGAACTCATCCTGTCTGTAGAGTATTATCATCAGATAATATGATGGAAATAAATATATTTGGGAATGCAATTAACTTATTTAGTTTACGTTATATTGCTTTTGTTATCTGGGAAAAATATCCATTCTAGAATTATCTAGTTCTTCTGTCCTAATAGATAGTAAAAAAAAAAATACACAGTCAGACACAGATGTATGGGAAATATAGAACAGCACAAGAAGTTTACTATCCTTTTTCTTGATATCTGCATTCACTGATTGCATATCAAATATTATTTAGCAGGAGATCAGAAATCACGATATAAACTAGATAATAACAGACTTTCACCTTTTTTTAAAGCCCAGTCACATATGGTCAGAAGTATAAAAAATGAATATGTTGAAGTCATAAACCACAAAACTCACATTACGTTCCCTGAAGATTTATTGTGCCTGAGAAATTTTTAGACTGAAACTGGGCAGATTTGTGGGTTTTGCAGTAAACTAAAGCATGAATATTTCTGCATTTTTTTTTTTAATCATCAGAATCATAAATGGAGACATGGCAAAGCAAATGTACAAGCTAGAGTGGTACTAAATTCTTGTCAAATTATGTTGCTGAATCTATATGTTGTCTCCCCTTCCATAAATATATTTGGGGGGGGATTTGGTTGTCTATGGTGCATTGAAAGCTTGGAAGCTGATTGTATTGCCTAATTTTTTGATAAGTTATAAGTTGCTATTTCTGTTTCTTGTCTAGCTGAAAAGGTGAGCATTCATTGTGGGTATTGAAGATATAATTTCCTAGAAGCTTGTAGATGCAACTTCCTATCACCAAGTAAGCTAGAAGTACTTCTAGCTCAAATATATTCAGAAAATGTGAGAAAAACCTGATACAAGCTCAATAAACCCTCCCCACCTCCTGCTTGGAGAGAACAAAGTTTCTGTTGCGTAAATTGAAAATTCCAGGTGAAACTATGTGAAGGGCACAGATTTCCCTTTGTAGGAAATTCTGTGAATATTTTTGTTAGCTTCCTAAGACTATTAAAAAATAATGTTAGCCCTGTGAACCTGATTTTCCTAGCATTCATCTCATTTCCTAGTGAAATTAGTTTTACTATGTTAAAGTTAGCCTTTGTGAATGCCACTTGCATCCTCCATCTATTAATTTTCCAACAAAATTTAGGGTAAAGTCAAAGCATAGAAAAAAAAATTATTTTCTCCCTGACTGTACTGGAATATCATATAGTCATTATTTCTCACTATTTCGTATACAGATGGAGTGATCTGAAGAAATCTTGGTGTTAATGAAATCTGGAAAGATTTTTCTGCTTTTGGTTTAAGATGTGGAATATTATGTAAATTTTACCAATGAGTTAAATTACTGAGGTGTAAACTGAATTTTAAGTTCAATTGTTCAATAAGTTCAATGGTTTTGAACGTACACAGAGAGCCAGCACTGGTGTCAAAATGAGGCTTTTCTTACCACTTTTTAATGTAAAGGGTCTGTCAGTGGGGGTTCATCACACATTCCACGTTCTGAGACCTCATCTGTACTCACAAATTGGTGTAAAACACTAGTGTTGATGAACCAGACCTAAAATCTCTGTGTTTTCAAGAGAATTATAATTATACTCCTATGCATGATAATTAAATTGAGAAACTGCAGGGTCAATTGCAACTGGATGAAATCTGAGGAACGACTGGATTACTGGTATTCAGTGCAATTAGAAAAACCTCTAATTTGGTATGCAGTACTTCCTAAAACCGAAACATCTCATTTGAGTCCAAGCTGGGCTTCTTATCAAATTTAAGCCAATCATCCTTCAGCTAGGATAAATGCAAGAATCTGCCTTCTCTTCAGAGTGAACACCATGGATCAGTACTGCAGTCTGTTTAGAGCAAGCTATCCCAAACACCCTTGGATGTAATTCCTACAATTATAATGGCTTTATTTTTTTCCTGTCTGAATTAATACTGATGTGTCACTAACTATACTGAATTTCTGGTGATTCAAACATGATACGATAAAAATACACTACCACCAAAAAAGGAAACAAGTCTGAACTAGAATATTTTTGAGATTAAGAAAGCTGTGTTAAAAGGTGGATCCTTCATAAGGCAATACCACCTTGGCTACATTGTCCTGTATTCTTTTATGGAGGCTTTAAAATCAGCATGCCAGATTTGTGGTGTTCATCCTCCCTCTGTCAGACTCCTGTGTCTAAACTTGATGCTGAAGTTACCAGCATGGTAAACAAGGCCTGTGATTTATTGTGTTCTCTTATTTAAATTGTCCTTTGAGAACAGATTTACTGTGCTGCAAGGATTGTGGTTTTTTTGTTGTTGTTGTTGTTGTTGTTTGTTTTAAACCCAGTGAATTTGGTTATTCCAGAGGGAAATAAATTAAGAAAATTAAGGCCCAAATTATTTCACAGGCTTCCGAGCATCTGTCAGATGTGGGTTTTCTTTTTTTTTTTCCCCATTAATATGAGTGTATGAAGAAGAGATGATGTGGTAGGAACTGATAGACATTATACTTTAAAATTTTCTCTTCAGAAAGAAAAATACCACTTTGAAAGATGGTTTTTAATATAGGAAGTGGCTAGGATTTAGAAATAGTTGTAAAAATGAGCTGTGAGAAATAAGGAAATATTTCTATTTTAAACCCTAAGGACAACTAGCTCTTGTAAAAACTACTAAGAAAACCAGTGGATTCTCCATTTCCTGATGACTTGGAATCAAGACTGGATGCTGGGTTGGAGTCCAGGCTGGCAGAACAAACTGTTAAAACATGTCTCCTGCCAACATCCCAACTCCTTTCCCGCCACTGCTCTCTCCTCTTGGGACATCTCCTGCAACCAGCTCAGGCTCAAACTCAGACTAAGGCTCTGTCCTTGCTTCTCCCAATGCCCACACTTGCCCACACCAACACAGGAGTTCTGGAGGGCCTTGTATGAGGTATTTAAAGCAGGAAGGAGCAGGTTTTAATCAGAGCCAAGACTGGGCTAGGGGCTGGAGAAACCCCACAGAGCAGCTGAGGTGGGGCAAGACTCTGTGCAAGGAACCCCAAGGGAGCTATGCCGGGGCAATGCATCTTGCTGCAGGATGGGGTCGGGAGATGTTGGCTCTGCAGCACATGAGCGTGTTCTTGCACTTGTGTCTATGCAGTGTTTAACATTTTCTCTTTCTCAGGTCCTGCGCTGACCAAGAAGTAGCGTCTGAGAGTAAACTGATGGTACACAGATGCAGAAGTTAGGCAAAGCTAAAATCTTTGGTTTGCAAGGGAAGAATTTGCTGACATTTATTGCTGTAATAAACAAAAATGAATCGTTAAAGCTGAACTGTGTTTCTCAGAAAATATATCAAAAGTGAAAATAGTATTTTTCTGGTTAATTCCTTTTTCCAATTGCAGGTTCAGTGAGTGAGAAGCTGCCACAACGAGAAGGTGCAGGAAAAGCAGGTAAATATCTTAGATGGCCTTTAAATGGAAACTAAAATGTCAGTGGGACACACTGCTGTAATTTTCCATAGGTTTAAATTATTAGTATATATTTATCATGTATTATATCTGCATATTTAATACTGTGGTGGGTTGACTCTGGTTGGATGCCAGGTGCCCACCAAAGCTGCTCTATCACTCCCCTCCTCAGCTGGACGGGGAGAGAAAATACAATGAAAGGCTGCTGGGTCGAGATAAAGACCAGGAGGGATCACTTACCAGTTATTGTCATGGGCAAAACACACTGGACTCGGGGAAAACTAATTTAATTTATTTCCAATCAAATCAGAGTAGGATAATAGCTAATAAAACCAAACCTTAAAACACCTCACACCCACCCCTCCTATCTTCCTGAGCTCAACTTCACTCCTGATTTCTTTACCTTCTCTCCCCAAAGAGGTGCAGGGGGACGGGGAATGGGGGTTGCGATCAGTCCATCACACATTATCTCTGCCGTTCCTTCCTCCTTGCGGGGAGGACTCCTCACACTCTTCCCCTGCTCCAGTGTGGGGTCCCTCCCATGAGAGACAGTCCTCCACAAACTTCTCCAGGATGAGTCCTCCCCATGGGCTGCAGTTCTTCACTAACTGCTCCAGTGTGGGGTCCCTCCCATGGGGTGCGGTCCCTCCCATGGGGTGCAGTCCCTCAGAAACACACTGGCCCAGCGTAGGTCCCCCGTGGGGTCACAAGTCCTGCCAGCAAACCTGCTCCAGCCTGCGCTCCTCTCTCCACGGGGCCACAGGTCCTGCCAGGAGCCTGCTCCAGTGTGGGCTTCCTCCCTCAGGAACATCCTCCTGCTCTGGCGTGGGGTCCTCCACAGGCTGCTCCACTGTTACCTCCATGGCTGCAGGGGCACAGCTGCCTCATCACGATCTTCTCCACGGGCTGCAGGGGAATCTCTGCTCCAGAGCCTGGAGCATCTCCTACCCTCCTTCAGCACTGACCTTGGTGTCTGCAGAGTTGTTTCTCACATATTCTCACTCCTCTCTTCTGACTGCTGCTACCCTGCAGTTTTTTTTCCCTCCTTTCTTAAATATGTTATCCCACAGGTGCTACCGCCGTTGCTGATGGGCTCAGCCTTGGCCAGTGGTGGGCCCGTCTTGGAGATGGCTGGCATTGGCTCTATGGGGGCAGCTTCTAGCAGCTCCTTGCAGAAGCCACCCCTGTAGCCACCTCACTACCAAACCTTGACATACAAACCCCATACAAATATGTATACATTCATACATGCTATTCATTTTATGTCTGCATTGTAGATATTTAGTAAACTTAGGCGTATAAATGTGTATATATATATAGATATATTTGTTTATATATGCATAGACATTACATTTTTCTACTCTCAACCCTACAGATTTGGTATTATGTGCTGTATGGAAAATAACTTTTCTTCCCATAGCTATACTGTGAACTATTTTCCCATACTGTTTGCTTGCCCTGGAGGACAGATTATTCTGTCTGTTTGATAACGACAACATTCTGCAGTCCCAAAATCTCAGGAACTGGAGTCCTCACTTTATTTCTATAGCAATCGGTGCTTGAGTCGTCTTGGACCAAGCACTTTGCTCTATATTGTAGTTAATTCACTGATGGGTCACATTCATGGCCAGATGATTGTTGTTAGAGATACATCATAGTGTATATCTTGTTGGCAGGACACAATCTGATGCAACTCCAACTTAGCTGGTAGATTCCAATGAGAGAGATGTCTATGCTTTAGTCAAAGTTAAAGCTTGAGCTCTCCAAACACTTACAAGAATTTTAAATTTGGCTGAAAACAGCATACTAAATGTTACTGTCAGTTATACTGGCATAAATTCATTTTAAGTAAGTTACTCATATTCATGCTAATGTTAATGACTGTTTGTACCACTGTAAATATAATTGAAATATTTTTTACAGGAACTTTTGCAGCATTATAAGATATCCAATATTTAAATAAAACATTGTGCTGTTAGGTTAAGAAAACCAGTGCTTCCTTAAAGGCTAATAATTACAAAGTACTGGAAAATTGTTTCTTCATCTATTTCCAGACAAATTGTGGGTTCCACTAACCTTAAGTTATCCATTAGCTTTAGGTCAGGACTTTTTTTTTTCCTTTTTTTTTTCCTTTTTTTTTCAGCTTTGAACTGAACGAACTATCCCATGTATAAAACTTGTCTGGGTTTTGGAATCGTTTATTTTTTGTTTGCGACTGTGGCGGCCGAGTTGCCAAACCCTGAATGAACAATCATGGAACAAAGAGCTTAGATGAACACAGTTTAGCCACTCTTCCTTCGCATCCCATATATTTGCGTCTAAAGTGACACAGTTGCATTTTACTCACGCCTTGTTTTTATTCTCCAGCACAAGCCTGCAGCACGGAGGGCTGCTGACCTGGTTCCCAGGTGGTCCCTGTCTCATCTCAGATGCTGCTAAATTTGCTCTCCCCACTCTTCTTCCAGCCAGTCACTGCCTTATGCTTTAAATAATGATGTCAGAGACATCACAGCCTATTTAGAGACCATCATGGAGTAATGAATGGGATCAGCCACCTGAATTAAAAAGCTGTGCTTCCACTTCACAGTCAGTGTAGTAAAAATATTCTGTAGCTCAACTTGAAAGTTTTCAAAACAACCATAAAACTCCCTGCTTATCTTTCCTCTGCATGTTCCTGTGGACTAACCAGGGGTGCCTGGAGGGGGCTACCTGTCCCTATTGTAACCCAGAAAGCTTAGGCAGGTTTGAGAAGTTCTCACTGCTGCAGAAGACATGCTCCAAACCTTCAAGTGTGATCCTGAGGGCTCTACTCAAGAGACAGGCTTAGCCTGAAGCAGTCTTCTTCCAAGATATCCTGCACAGCCTCACAGCACAGGATGACCTGGTGGCCATAGCTGTTGCAGTTGTGCGCCTCACTTTCTCCAGGTATTCCAATACCGAAAGAAAATTTCCAGCTGTGAATTTTGGATGGCAGGAGCTTTGTTTGCATGTTTGCAAATTAAACTGAACAGGAATAAAGGTTGAAAGATAATTCCCAGTGTATCTTTCCATGCCACCCAGTTCCCTTCTCTATCCAAGGAAAATATTCAAACTATATGAAAAGCCCAGGTGTCAGAGATAGGATCACGTCCCTTTTTTCTGATTCTTAGCTGGCTGCAGGACTGCATTCTTGGTAACTGAACTCTGATAGCAAACAGGATGATTCCTGTTTAAATGTATACACGTGTGGACTGGTATTGTGTGTGCCAGCCAGGAAGGCCTCTGAAGTTACCCTGTGGGACATCCGATTAACATGAAGACAAACTGCTCTACAGTTGTGACTGTCTATTAAATGTTGTTTTGAACAATGAAGTGCCACCTGCTTCTTCATTCTTAACACAAGAGGATTTTATGAAAAGATGATGTACCTGACAGAGCACAAACAGAAAATGAACACAGTTGTCTTCCTTTAGATTAAGAGCAGTTCTGGAGCTGTTGTTGTAGCTCCTCCAGTTCTGGAGTGAAGTTATTGCCTTCTAGATTATACAGATATCCCGTACCAAATGTTTGCTTCATTGATAACCCAAAGCAAACCCCTTTCTTTTGGGTGGGGGGGACCTGAGGGCAGCTTTATCACTCAACTGCTAAACATCTGTGTGTTTCAGGGTTTTTTTTGCTTGTTTGTTTGTTTTTAATACTGATAAACTGTCTTAAATGCTACTTGAACAAAGTTCAAGAGTCTAATTTTGATTGGGCTGATAATTGTTAAAGTTGCAACATTATATCTGAATTTCAGGTAATAACGTAAGATCAAAGTGTCAGAAACTGAAATTGTGGGCAAGAAGATTGTTAGAAAAATGTCATTTAAACCCAAAACTGAGTTTCTGGGTTGGCTTTTGGTAATATTCACCTGCTATAAGCTACCCTCTGAAATTCAGGATGTTTTCTGAATGACATATGGATTGATGATCTAAATATATGTCTCGATTCTCAGTACACTGGGATACTTGATGGCCTCTCTGAAATTAATCAACGGTCTTATTCCACCACCCAGAGGACACCACAAAAATGCCAGCAAAGCTAATGACAAGTGACAGTCTGTTATGGCATTGGAACGAATTACCCTGTCACTGCATGGACGTGAAGAATGAGCATTCTTAGAAGAAGTCTCTATGCTTTGGTTAAAACATTTTGCAGTGAAAATAAGTTTCTATTGCTGCTGCTTTGCCTTTTTTGAAAAGCATGGATGTTAGTGTTCCATGGCTGCAAATTTGGTTTTACCTGCTGTCAGTATTTAGTTGGCATCTGTATTTGCTGTGAACTAGGCTTGCATGGAAGATGCTGTTTACTGTGGGACACCTTGGTCTTGGAGTTAGCTCCATTCTACAGCAACAGCTGGAAAATATGTACTGTCAAGGCATACTAATCATATTTACTTAATATCTGAAATAATTTTAGGTAACAAAAACATAATAAGGTAAATATGGGTCTTTGGGTGTTGCTTTTTCCCAAATAGTGTTAAATTAAATAATTTTTCATACAGCGTTTTTCTTTTCCAGCACTAATTCCACTGTGTTTTACTGAACCTAAAATTATGCACATCCTCTTATCATTTCTGTAAATTTTCCTCCCTCTTTTCTTGCAGTAATGGTTGATAGTGAATGGATGGAGATGGCTGACAACAACATAAGAATTATGCAAACAGTATTCTGGTTCTTTAATCTATGAATCTTGCTTATAAAATCAGCTTGACTGTTAAATGGATTCTGCTGTGCTGAAAGACACTTTTCTTTTAAGGTGTCAACGTGTCTGCAGGCACTCATTTGTCCCAGACTGCTTTTGCTTTCGCAAATCTTACCCCTTCTATACATTGATCTAATTGCTTCTTTAGAAATGCTAATTTAATCAGTTATAATCTATAGGAATCAATGTGCAGTGTTAAAAATGAAGAATTACTCTCCAGGGAGTGACCTGACCACTTCATGCCTTATCAAAGGCCCTGCAATCGTTTCATCAGCCATAACCTCAAAAGCCTTCCATTTATAATCTGTAGCCTTTTAGCTGTAATACATCTATGCTGTATAGTAGCTATAAATAATGTTTAAATTATTGTTTGTTTACCGGCCGGGGCTATGTGCAAATCATTAGTATCAATCATGTATGTACACTTATTTAGCTTACTCTCATAATTGTAGTCTCCTTGCAAATCTTTTCCATTCTGAATTCAGATGATGCCTCAGCTCCCGCGCTGGAGACTCAGCCTCAAGGTGATGAAGAAGGTGAGCATCAACAGGAATTTAACAGTGCGGTATTAAATGATGCAATATGGACCATATAGCACAAATGTCAAATGCTGCCTTAAAGTTAGGGCAACCTGGGGCAGCTGCAAGAAATAGCAAGAATTTGAAAGTATCCGTACCTTTTTCTAGATGAAGACAGCAAACACAGTACAGTCTTTACTTACAAGGAACAATTTCTTTGTGACAGTTTTGAGGTGACACTGCAGCTATGCAGTGGGACATTAGCAATTTTAATTGTCATTACTCAGGGCAGAGGCAGGTCTAAGCTTGAGCCAGAGTGCAGATTAAAACTGTATGGACAAATAAGGAAGTTAAAGGGTAAATTCTGTCCTCGGTTTACTGCCTAGCAATGTGAAGGTTGATGTTTTGTCAGGCTTATTTGCTTCTGAGGACATTCAGTGCTCGGTAAATGGAAAGCTCAAGACTTACAGGCAATGATGGTCCTGTATTGTGGCTGCCTCACCACTCACTGCAAATCCCACAGAATATGATCCCAAGTTATGACATATTTTGGTTCCACACTGGGAAATTTTTATTCTGATTAAACATAATTTTGGTCTAAAAGTATTTATTTCAACTCATTGTATGAATGCAATAAGGAGGGAACTATTCATGCCTTTGCATGAAGGAGTTTTTAACTGTCCCAGTACACACCAGTGTGCCCTTTTCCTTTTAAAATCCCTGTGTCCTTAGAACGAGCCACTTCTTATTCAGCTGTTAGTAACTTTTAAAAAAATTGTAATACTTACAATTTCCCCCCCTCCCCCCAGATATAGCATCTCGTTATCCTACATTATGGACCGAACAAGTAAAGAGCAGACAAAACAAAACCAATAAAAGCTCAGGTAAGAAATTTATGTTACCGTTACTTTGCAAAGCTCCTGTCAAGACATGCATTTAGCCTTGTTAAAACTGAAACCATTTAAGTGAAAGCCATTGTAATAACCATTAAGCTTCCATTTTATCATATGATAGCAACTTAATGATTTGTGTTGTGATGATTTTGTAAGCTCATGCATCATACGTTCCTTTTGTACGGAAACATTTTTGGCCAGGCTTTATTAGGTGTAAATTGACATTATGCCGCTAAGGTCTCTGTCTCACATCTGTTTGCATCTGTGAGTGGATCTGACATTTATTTTTTGCATCTTTAATTCTCTGTTTCTTTGTTATCTACTTGTTGGGTTTCTTTGTTTGTGGGGTTTTTTTGGTTTTTTTTGGTTTTGTTTTTTTTGTTGTTGTTGGTGACGTGTAGCAAGAAGGTCCTTAGAAAATGATGGCATGGGTTACATGTGGTTGGTGTTGGTTCATCCCACCCCAGTATCAACTGAAAATCCAGGTGGTATTCTTTCAGAGCTTTTGTATTTTGTACATGAAGAAACTGGATATTTTGGACTGTGTCCTCAACGGTTGCCAATTACTGTAGCTTCAGGGCTAGGTGCAACCTTGATGTAGGTGGAAAACACTACATGACAGTGTAGATACTTTCCCATCACCTAGCCCCTGAAGAGAGCTCAGGCTGGACTGTAGACCTCTTAGATTCTCCTTGCTACATCTGCTCTACCAGCAGTTTATATCCCTGGGGGATTCTTTGAGAAACAAGTGTGACATTTTTTCAGAGAATATATGCTCTTTTTTGAGTTTGAATATAAGCAAAGGAAGAGTAGTTTAATCCTTTTCAGAATGGACAGTGAAGCTTAGAATTCATTTTGTTAGCTCGTATTAAAGAGCCAATTTTTTCTAATAGTCTGTTACGGGAGCACTTCCATGAAAAATAAATAGGGAGAGTTTAACTGATAATATTGTTAATGTTCAAAAAAATTCTTAAAGTACTGAGTAATTTCTAAGTACAATCTGTACACCACACAAATGAGAGTAAATAATACTCAGTATAAAATTTCATTACTTTTGCAATGGAGGATGCAAAAAGTTATCTGTAATCTGTCCTTAACATCTTTAGAGATTCTGGTGATAATATAATGCAAGTTAAAAGAGACAGGGGTAAATAGCATGTCATTGCCTAAGACACAACATAGTTTCATGAATCTGCTGTTCAGTTCTGTTCGCTTATTATTAATACTTTTGTATTCTGTTTCCTTAAAGATTGAATAGTATGACATTATTAGCACTAATGGTTTATGTGTTCATTGCTCAGTTGTGTAGTTGATTTGATGAGCATTGTAAAGTGATTGAAAAAATTGGTGTTTGTTCTGTTGGTAATACAGTATGACCATCAAAATAGGAGACAGGGATTGCCACATTTCTCTATATTCTACTGAACTGGACTTTGATTCATGTATTAAATTTTAAACACATGAAATGAGTGGGTAGAAATTTAGGACCCCTGGCAGTCAGTGGCAGAATTCCCAGGCAGAATTTGTACAACCATTCATACCCTGACTGCATGCTACTGGTTCACCCAGTAATTCACATTTCATCTGGATCAGTCACAGACACGTGATGTAGCACTGGTGCCAGCTCCATGCTTTCTGCCAGCTTTATGCTTATGTGCTTTAAGCAGGTGCTAGAGAACGAGCCATACATGATCCAGCAGAAAATAGGATTAGTCCATAGGAAACCCTTTCAAAATTCTTCGCATCTATGCAAAAAGTAGTAGATCGTGTGATTATAACATTTTTCACCCAGAATGAAGAATCCTAAATCAGAATTCGTTGTCTCCCCGAACTATGGCTTTAGTGACTTTGAGAGTGCCCAGATTTTAGCCACCGTACCTAGACACTCTGGTAATGCAGAATCATCTTCAATTTAATTTTTGGCTGTACACACGTGAAAGGAACACGTAGCATTTTATTTAATTTTCTGGCACAACAGAGTAGTTTTATATTGCTGCCATTTTACTACAGACTATCAGTTTCAAGGCTTTAAAAATCTTTTACAAGATTTTATCGATTAGCTCCAGAGCGCTTGATCCAACGGGAGTTTGATTCTCAAAATGCCATCTGGGACAAGACCGAAGTGCACACACAGTAATGTAGTACAGACTGGATGCAAATGCAAATGCAAACACTCAGTGTAACAGATACTGTGAATACATTCTTAATAAACTAAAAGAGGGAATTTAAAGTGATAATCTAACTAGCAATTTTATGTGTCTGTAGTTACACCAAATAGCTGCTTGCATTTATCTGTCCATTTAGTCTGAATCTGTTGGCAAAGCCTGCTAGTGAGAATGACTAATGTGACAGAGTGACATTCTATGATTTGAGTGCAGTTTTTATTGCCTTGTCATCTGACTGCTTTAAAGTGTGTGTATGAGTTTTTCTCACATGGAAACTATGTTGGTTGTCAGTGAGGTTTCTGTTTTGTTAGCTTGGTTTGTTTTGTTTCTCAGAGGCATTTGTTCCAGTGGGATCCCTGTGCACTGGTCAGTCCCTAAAGTCACCTTCTTACCAAGGACCAAGACAAGCCTTGTTCCATACTCCAATGCTCGCATTCATTCCAAACCTGGCACATGTCCTCCTGATACACCTATCCTAGCAAAACTCAGCCCTGAAGTTAAAAAAGGCTGCATGAGAAAAACAAAAGTAGAATTTTCTTGCAAAGGAAATAAATGTAAGAGTTTGTGTGTCTGCCCAATCACATCAATTCTAACAGCCATTCCTCTCTAATCATAGGAAATTGAGTAACTTTCAGACAGGAAAATGAGTAAGAGCTCAGTGACTTCATATTTATTCTCATTAATTGTTGCATTTTCCAGATGTTGCTTTTAGTATTGACTGAAGATAAATTACGTGCAGTTGAAGATGTGTGAGCTAGCAAGAAAAAAACCAAGATCCAGTTGTATGTTCCTGGTTACATACTTGTTACAATTAGAAGTTTTCTAGAACTATTTTGAATTAAGCTTCTTTTGCAATGTGAAGATTTAAGATATGAAACCAGTTATAACAGAAGAAAACCAAAATGGATATCATACCAAACTGAGAAAAGAACACAGGGAAGAGGTGGAAGAAGTGTTTTAAAAGTTTGTTGCCCCCATTTTTCATCAGGGATTCCTAGCAAGTCATGTGTTGGCCTGCGAAACCCTGGCCAGTCTTCCATTCTCAAATTTGCTTGTATTCAGCATTAAAGGAGGAGCAAGTGAGGACTTTAGAAGAGAATATGCACATATGTACAAAGAGTCCTGCTCACTCTGAATGCATTATTCCTATATTGGACACTCAGAAGTTGAGTTTAAATGAACATATAAAGTATATTTGCACAGGAAAATAGCCCGAGCAGGAA